CGGCCTGAAAGCGGCACCATGCAAATATGGACTCATGCATTACTGACCTCAGCTCTTCTATGGCCATGAGGTTCCAACCGCAAGAGCGAACGTTTCCGTCAAGCAAGGCGACGCGACCCGAATCTATCTGCTGGCGAATCAGCCGTTGCATGAACTGAGCTCTTCTGTCATCTCTGCGGTTTCCAGACCCCATGGCGGGACCTTGCAAACGTATCCAAACTATGGCGGGTTTCTGTTCTTGCATTTGCAAGGTGAGGTATTGGTAGTGGCCTTGGCTGTGAAGATCATGAGCAATGGAGAGCACTTTCATTCCTTGCTGATGAACTACTTGTTGTCTGATACCGCTCCGATCACTTATGACCCAAACCAAATTGTCAGACTTAGGCATTGCGCAAGTCTTCATGTCTTGGCCTGGCGCTGAGTCTAATTCGGTTCTGCTTGCATTAATTAAAGGACGTTCCACTGCGCTTCAGTTGGCGCGTTCGGGCTGTCGCTCTGAGCCTTCTCTCACACTGCTTCGTGGGACAGACCTAGAACGAAAAGCTTCACGGCCAAACTGCTCATCAGCTTCAATCACACGGCTTTGCGGTGTGACACTTCGCGTCTGGCGACATCGTGCATTGAAGTCCAATCTCTCATCTGGCCTTAAGGTGCTGCGAGCACGGCTCTCGTCCTCAGTTCCAGCCCCTTCCACGGGTTCAACTGGTTGAATGAGATGGCCTGACGGTGACACTTCGAGACGAAACACATGGCTTCCAGGGGAAAGTCGGTATTCAAGGCCTCCTGGGCCTGGAACCAACAGTGCTGGCGCATGCATGTCCAGCGCACAGCGTTTTCCTCGCAGCGACTTCAACCCCAGGAGTGCTGGCAGCACACTCTGAGTGATATATGGGGCTGTGTAAGAACTAGCAACATGTTCACCGGCTTCATTCTTCAGCCGAAACTCAACACAGCCGGCGCGATTGGATTCTTGTGCATTGGTTCCAACTCCACTGACCTGCAGAGGTCGGTCAAGATGTTTCTCAGGATAATCATCATGGCCAGACACTTGGCGACTCAACAAACGCATCGTGACTTCACCGGACAAATTGTCGTGAGCACCTGGGTCCACCAGCAATCCGATCCGGCCGTCCGGCAGATTGGTCCTTGAATGGTAGGACCTGCGCGTCGTTGGTTCACCGGGATGGCGTTCCCACCAAGGCCAGTATGAGCCTCTGTCTGATCGACCTTGCTCTGCCGGCGCCGATGGCTGGCTCGCAGAGGAGGCGGACGATCTGGGACCTTGACCTGACAGACCTTGTAGAAGCTGACTGAGTTGCAGAGTGGTGGCTTTCTGCATTTGTTCATTCAACTTGTCTTTCTGGAGCTTGGCCTGCTTCTCAGGCGAGGGCTTGCTGGCGCCATCTGACGATTTGGCAGGTGAACTCTGATAGCTTTTTCTCTTTTCCACTTGTTGTGATGGTCTTGGACTCGAAGCTTCATCTTCATCTTCTTGTGACACTTGAGACCGATCAGACACGGATGCCTGTTGGGACTGCTTGCTGCGAGGAGTCCAAATGGAAAAGTGTTGCAATCCTTGACCTGCTGATAGATTTCCTGCTTGGCCACTGACAAACGACTGCCAAGTACTGGTGGACTTGGCTTGAATCTCTTGCAACGTCGGCGCCTCATGTGGTGGTGGTGGACAACGGGGCTCATTCGGCGCAGACTGTCCTTGAGCAACTGGCTGCTCTTCTGCGGTTTGCGACACTGGCTTCACTGTTGCGGTGGACCGCAATGATTCAAGCTCATCTCGAACACTGGCCTGACTAGAACTATGCACTGAACGCAACACCGGGGTTCCATGAACGGCTGAGTTCATCATGAAATGCATGGATGGCAACGACTGCATTCCGGTGGTTAGCATGGCCATAGATGGTGCTGCATGCTGAGTGCTCGAACCCTTTTGTGGACATCTACGAAGCAAATGCTCATCAGAACCACAACGATGACACCTTAGAGGTTGGCCATCTCTGCCTCTAGGATTCTTCTTGGGTCCTTTCGAGCCTGACTTCGTTAACTGTCCAGGATTGCGATTGGCAGCAAATGCTTTTGGCGGCAGGAATGCGGCGTATGCCTTGGCATATGGACCTTGGGACAAATGGCGATGTTGTTTGGAATACTTCCCCTTATTAAAATGATTCTTACGATACCTTCTTGGGGGTCTACCGCTAAAACGACGCCATCTCTGCTTAGCCAAAAGATACGCACTATATACAGCATCGGCTGCTTCAGCTTCACTTTCGAAACTTGCAAATGTCTGCTGCGCTTCATGATCTGGCTCTCCTAGATCTGACTCTGTGGCACTACAATTATCGTCATCTTCGTAAAACATGCCACACGCATTGCAACGCAGAGCATCTGCGTCATTGGTTGACCCAGCAACAAATGCACTTTGCTCGAACGTCGGCATGGAGGACCCTGCAGTTCCGAAGAAATCAGATGGCATCTGATATGGGCCCCCTGGTGCGACTGGTGTTTGCTGGGGTGCGAAGGGAGGCTCTTCAAACGACGGAAAGAAATGGTATTCCCCTGTGTGTCCTGTGGCTCCCTGTCGCATCTGATGATGATACCCCCCTTCATGCAATCTACCAACTCGCCTAACCCGCTCTAACAGCTGAGTAAACTGGACCTCATTTTGGGGAAGTTGTCCGTCCAGGGGTGTCAACACCCTGTCCCACATGTCTGGGTTCAGGCGCAGCCCTCTCAACAAGAGCCACGACATGCCTTGCGCTGTCATCCCCATGCCACCTCTCTGAGCGGCACGGTTTCTCAAGACGTCAAACCGCACTAAACAAGCATCCAATGTCTCGTCATTGAGACGGGCAAAGGACATGAGCTCAGCCAGAGCTCGAGTTGCAAGTTCAGCTTCCATCGGCATAAAACGGTCTGTGAGGACTTGTGCGAGCACCATCAACCCTGTTTGGTGTTGTCCTGCTTGATCATACTGACCGTCTCGCAACACGTTAGGCGGAATCTCTCGAACTAAGTCGCGAGCCATGCCTGTGATCTGCAAGGCGGCCATCGGCCCTTGCCTCTGCGGCTCGATGTCCGTTGAGGCCGACCATAGAACCAGGTCGCTTAGCCAACTTCGAAGGGAATACACATGGGCATTCTCAACGCTCCACCCTGGAGGTGTCTTCAACGTGGCCTGACCTTGGTATGCGAATGGGCGATTGGCCGGATGGGCCGGATGTCCACCCGAATGCATGTAACACACATAAAGGAAAGTGATCACCATGCCAGCTAGGGCCACCAAGTAGCGGAAACGAAACATCCTCTTCCAACGCACTACTCGGCTCATCCAAAGCTCAGTCAACCACTTCTTCATGTAATGCTTTGCGTCTTGTGAGTCACTCAATCGTCGATGCACAAACTCTGACAAAGCCTCGCCTGTAGGCTCTGATGCTGGGCTCAAAGCATTGTTCGACTGCTCATGCTTGGAACCCTCCATCAACGCAACTCGTGCCTTCAGGGCATCCGGCTTAGTAGACGTTGTATCGTTTCGAGACACGCCTACAACCGTCTCAATTGTGTCATTATCACTGCTTGCATTGTCCTTTGGAGTCTGCAAGAGATATATTGCTTCATGCTCAATTTGGCCTATCGACACATCATCCGTCGTGGCAGTCACGAGCCCAAAGCTGCGAACCGTGTTCTTGAACCTGTCGGGCTGTGTTTCAACTGAAGTCAAACACTCATGAACTTGCTCGTGCTTTGTGATGGCCTGGTCTGCCTTCATCGTCAGCCTAGTTCCAATCTTGTCGATTAGCGAAGCTGCGAGATTGGGCTCACTTTCGCTCTCCGCTGGCGTCATGGTTGTCTCTGGCAGTGCTTTCGCAACGTGTTGGACTCCGTTGGTCACGACAACTGCTGGAAGAGTCAACACGCTCATCACGAACAAAGCCAGCACCATGACGCACCAGCGGAAGAGCGGCCCTGGGGAGCACCGTGGCTCCGCTACCAAGTCGAAACTTGGCAGCGAACCACGGTCCCACCCCAGTTCCGCTCCCCGCGCCGCTGCGTCACGTCCTTTCGCGAGGGCGGCCATGCATAGGGTGAGACGGTGATCAATACCTAGAGGTAACTTGATGAAAATGTGCACACTGCGGACGAGAATCAGATCTGTAGATCTTTTGGCACGAGGCCCAATGCCTGCATGCCTCTCATGGATGCTGCTACCCTTTGACTACTAGTAGCGATGCCCTTGTTACTAGTAGCTTCTAGCTACTAGTAGTAATGCCCTTGTTGCGAGTAGCGATGCCTTTGTTACTAGTAGCTTCTGTAGTGATGCCCTTGTTACGAGTAGCGATGCCCTGGTTACTAGTAGCTTCTAGCTACTAGTAGTATTGCCCTTGTTACGAGTAGCGATGCCCTTGTTACTAGTAGCTTCTAGC